TATGAGATAGGAACAAGCTGGCAATATATTAATTACAGCTGTATCTCTAAAGCGAACTCGTTGCAAAACTTTACTTCTTGGCCGGGCGCGGTGGCTCAAGCCTGTAATCCCAGCACTTTGGGAGGCGGAGACGGGTGGATCATGAGGTCAGGAGATCGAGACCATCCTGGCTAACACGGTGAAACCCCCTCTCTACTAAATATTACAAAAAACTAGCCGGGCGAGGTGGCGGGTGCCTGTAGTCCCAGCTACTGGGGAGGCTGAGGCAGGAGAATGGCGTGAACCCGGGAGGCGGAGCTTGCAGTGAGCCGAGATCTGGCCACTGCACTCCAGCCTGGGCGACAGAGCAAGACTCCGTCTCAAAAAAAAAAAAAAAAAAAAAAAACTTTACTTCTATCACTACCAAAATGAGTCAGTTTCCCAGTAAATGTGTTGACTGCAATATGCTATTAATGTGGAAACATATCCTGTTGCCTCATTTAGTATCTACAAAGATACCACTGTCAAAGCCATAAATTTATAGTGAATATTCCTTTTTCATATCCATGGATGTGACTTCATTTCCTGGCTTAATGGATAATTCCTTGGAAGACCTATAGTGATTTTTAAATAAGCAGAATTTTTCACTTAGACCTGATGGGTGATTTCCTTTTCTAAGTGGCTAGTGGGGGCGGGGGATATGAGAAAACGTTTAATAAATAATCCAGAGAGTGTGGCACAGAAAAACTTCTTGCCAATACTGGGCCCTTGTCTGAATCAGAAGATTCAGTACCTTTCTAACTGTACCAACTTGAAAAAAAGTAAGGTTTCCAGTTGGTGACAAGAAATCAAAGGAAATGAAATCTGAGATGCAAGGAATGCATTTGTAGGATAAACAAGTACTTTGTTACCGTTTACCTCAGGCTGGTAGAAATAGAGGCCTTTGAGCACAAGCTTGCTGAAGGAGCCAGCCCAGCCCCATTCTCAAGGTCCTAGGCTTCAAACAAAGGGCAGAGGACATTTTCACTCCTGTTATCTTTCCCTACAGCAAACATTGTATTTTTATGCACGTTGCACAATGAAAGGCAAGGTGACCGCCAGTGCACCTGGCCAAGGAAAAGCATGCCAGGGCCAGGACGTGGATTCCTAAGTATTTACAATGGATCCATTCAACCTGACTGCAAATTGCTACAAAGCTGAGAGGCTCCCCAAATCTAAGTAATGTAAGCCTCACCATACATACAGAATTTAGTAGCATCTGACTAGAAATACTCAATTTGCCAATACTTCAAACTCATTCTTCTTCCCCTCAAGGTCCCCTGTCTTGTTATACCTTTTCTTATTCTATCCAGGACTCAGGAAAAGTAGCTGTTGTTTGGCCTCGGGAAGCTGGAGAGCAGAAGTATCAGAAACTACATATTTGGGAATGAGGTGATAAATGTGGCGGTGGGCATACTGGACTAGGAATCAAACTCTTCCACCAGCTGAGGGACTTTAAGGGCACAGATCAATTATTCATCCACTTAAACAATAATAAAAGCAAAATCTCCAAAGCCTGACTATTCTGTTCCCCTCAAGGACTTGGTGAGGATTAAATGAGAGAATTCATGTGAACAAAGTTTTGTTAGGAGCAATGGTAACAATATTATTTATAAGCATAATAGGTACAAGTGGTAAGGAGAAGCTGTTTCATGATAGTGAAAGCAAACTATGGGTGGTTATGAAACCAGATTAGGAAAGGTCTGAGAGTTAAATAGAGAAATTAGGATTTGTTCAGCAGACAACAGAAGGATACTGACATTTTCAAGGATGGCATCATATGGTGAATGCTTTTCTCTAAAACCAGTAATGAAGGCAATAAGGCCAATGAAAAGGATTGGAGTGTGGAGTGGAGGCTTGCTAGGAAGCCAGTGCAATGATGAGAAGGCCTGGAAACAATGTAAGGATGGCAATGGAAAGCAATCAAACAAAACATGTTTCTTTCCCTAAAAAAAGAGGCAGCACTTTACTAATCTTTTTTTCTAATTATAAATGTTCAAAGAAGAAAACTCAGAAAATAAAAATAGTACAGCGAAAATCAAAAGCCACCTGTTACCACCATTCATATCTTGACTGATTTCCCCCCAGTCTCATAGAAAACATTTCAAGGTTGGATGCCGTGGCTCACACCTGTACTCCCAGCATTTTGGGAGGCTGAGGTGGGTGGACAGCTTGAGCACAAGACCTTGAGAGCAGCTTAGGCAACATGGCTAGAGACCCTGTCTACACACACACACACACACACACACACACACACACACCAAAAAATTGCCAGGCGTGGTGGTCCATGCCTGTAGTCCCAGCTACTCAGGAGGCTTAGCTGGGAGGATCACTTGAGCCCAGTGGTCAAGGCTGCAATGAGCCATGATTGTGCCACTGCACTCTAGCCTGGGTGATGAAGTTAGACCCCTTCTCAAAACTAAACAAAACACATTTCACATTTCAAAGAGCTTGGAGACTGACTGGCCAACCAGGAGGCATTCAATAAATATGCAAGGATGGATTGAATTCAAAGCTTTGATACTGAGAATACAGAGTTGTTATTACAGAGACAGAAATGTAACCAAATCAGAGACACGGGCTTAGGGGAGTAGGAGGTTATCCAGCACAAGGATGCAGCAGGCAGAAATGGAATAGGTTGGTCTCCTGACAAGGGGCGCAGCCCAGGCAAAGCAGAGCTTCTGTTTGGCCACCCCTTATCCTGACAACCAAATTTAAGAGGCCCAGAGGCTGCAGTGAGGATGGTGGTGGCTTCCTGATGAGTCAGTACTCGGGGTGAGAGAAAACAAAGGCTCCAGCGGGCCCGGAATAGAGCCTAGTTTACTTTGCAGCAGGGGCCATCACTGAACCTTACCTTTAACCCAAGTCACAATACACACACATATGTTTATATATCCCTATATATGAACACGTGTGTGTGCTTCACCAGAACTGAAAAAGTAACTGAGACTTGACTAAAGGTGAAAAATGATTAGGACCTGTAATCCCAGCACTTTGGGAGGTGGATTGCTTGAGATCAGGAGTTCGAGCCCAGCCTGGCCAACATGGTGAAGCCCTGTCTCTATAAAAAATTAGCCAGGCATGGTGGCAGGTGCCCTGTAATCCCAGCTACTCGGGAGGCTGAGGCATGAGAATCGCTTGAACCAGGGAGGCGGAGGTTGCAGTGAGCCGAGATCACGCCATTGCACTCCAGCCTTGGCGACAGAGTGAGACTCTGTCTCAAAAAAAAAAAAAAAAAAAAAAAAAAAACCAAAAGATCAGGAAATAACTCATGTTTATGGCAAGTTGTTTTATAATTGGATTTTAAAAAATCAAAATAAATCTAGATTGCTTGTGGCCATTAATATTCATTGTATGAAAGTTACTTGTGTCTACATTTTGATGATTGATTGGATTGATCATCTATCTGCATTTTGGAAGGTTTGGGTATGAGGAAGAAAAGATATTTATTTCTCCACATGTATTTTACATTTACAGCTAATTTGCCATAATTTTGGCAAAATAATTCAAACAGTATATCCCACTTTACATACATGAACTTATTATGTGTGCATCCGGTAAATGTGTCCAACTATTAAATAAATACTCAAACTGCTTTAAACACCTAAATATTCAGAGTGTTTTGCCCAGGAAGCCTTCTATAGTTTCATCCTAGTCTGTGGTCAAAGACTTCAGATACAACCCAGTTAGCTCTACAGCTAGTTCTATTTTGTAAATCTCAGCCATTGTTAATAGAATTAGAATGGATCAAGAAACCCTACATAAGAAAAACAGCTCTTAGCACTTGAAAAAATAAATAAATAAATAAGAACACCGTGAATAATGTGATACTGAAAGTATCTTACTCCTTCAATACTGATAGCATTACAATTAGAACAACTTTTGAAGAAAGGCCACAAAAAAGGTTTGTATTCTTTTGTCTGGCAATCACACGCCTGAGAATTAATCCTATAAAGAAAGCTTCAAAGATAAAAGCTAAATGATAAGGATGATTGTAGCACTATTTACCTAATAAAAATTAGAGGCCAGGTGCGGTGGCTCACGCCTACAATCCGAGCACTTTGGGAGGCCGAGGCAGGTGGATCACCTGAGGTCAGGAGTTTGAGACCAGCCTGGCCAACCTGGTGAAACCCCGTCTCTACTAAAAATACAAAAATTAGCCGGGCGTGGTGGTGGGCACCTGTAATCCCAGCTACTCAGGAGGCTGAGGCAGGAGAATCACTTGAACCCGGGAGGTGAAGGTTGCAGCGAGCAGAGATCGCACCACTGCACTCCAGCCTGTGTGACAGAGTGAGACTCCATCTCAAAAAAGAAAAACAAAAACAAAAACAAAAAAAAAAACAGAGAAAAAAAATTAGAGCAATGTGAATGTCTATCAGTGGAGTGCTCAGGCATTTGGGAAGAAGAGGGTGTTTCTGGGGCACTGACTATGACAGAGAAAAAGCAATGGGACAGGATAGGAAATAGAATGGACCAGAGTGTGTTCAGTTAGTGATGGACATTAGCAGAGTACACACTTCTAGACTTTGGAATAATAGGGGAATGTGAAAGCTACAAAGGACATTTTTTTAAAAAGGATAGCTGTGCTAACAATTTACCAACATCCATTGAAAGGAGGCTATAATGACAGAATTAGAGAAAGGACTCAGAGACTAAGAGACTCGCCTACAAAGGTCATTTTCTTATATACATAGGATTTCTGTGGCTAGAGACTTATTTCCTCCCTTGCTGAACTTCTTCCCTTCCAGCACCTCAGTAACTGTGGGGTCCCTGCTGCAGATGGAGATTTCTTTTCCTTCCTCAGCACTGTCTTCTTTCCCAAAACCTAGAGTTCCAGAAGCTGCTTACTATAGAGGTTCCAAATATCCCAAATCCCACACCTACTGAAGAGCTAATATGAGAAACTGAAGCTCTGTGGGTTTTTAAATTAATTTCTAAAATATGAACGAATACATATGTTACCTAGAAGGTGAAAAACTTACAAATTGGAAGCAGCTCCGGACACTTGGCTCAATGTTACTGCCCCCAAAGGATGCAACTTCACCCAACTGTCTTGGAATTTGGATAGAATCATGCAGCAGGAGACCCAGCCTGCGCTGGTCACAAAATCCTGTTGAACTTGACACTTGCTTGAAAAGGTCTACAAAGGAAGAAGAAAATTGCAACAGTCAAAACACAGCACCCATGGATGCCAGCAGAAACTGACGTCCAACTCAATTCCAGTAGCAATTCTCAAGAGTAGCCAATATTTCCACAGAGTGGGGTTACTTCTAATTTGTGCTAATCTGGACATTTATTATTTTTATGAATCAAGTTAATGATCACTGTATATATATGAAGTGTGATAACTTTTACTTAAACTATGTCACTGCAAGAAGCACAAGCTTACGTGTACCCATGACACTTAAATTTCTTCTAAGCCAGAACACAATCCTTGGGAATTATTATATATAGGATGTAACTACATCAAAAAATAAGTGTTTTAGCATTAAGAGACATATAACTGGCCCAAAACACCACCCTCTTTGGATACCAGAGATTCAAAAATGTACCACAATTGGGACTTCTTTATGGAGTCATAAGATCACTGAGCTTCCAGTCCATCATGTGTGTGTTCCCACAGGATACTGTGCATAGTTTGTTGTTGTTGTTGTTGTTGATGTTTGCGATGGAGTCTTGCTGTGTCACCCAGGCTGGAGTGCAGTGGCGCAATCTCTGCTCACCACAACCTCTGCCTCCTGGGTTCAAGCCATTCTCCTGCCTCAGCCTCCTGAGTAGCTGGGATTACAGGCACATGCCATCACGCCCAGCTAATTTTTGTATTTTCAGTAGAGACGGGGTTTCACCATGTTGGCCAGGCGGGGGTTTCACCATGATGGCCAGGTTGGTCTTGAATTCCTGACCTCAAGTGATTCACCTACCTCGGCCTCCCTAAGTGCTGGGATTACAGGTGTGAGCTACTGCGCCTGGCTGCATATTTCTAATTAATAGCTCATATCACGTCATGCTGGCATTGATTTAATATGTGTCTATCTTTTTTGGCAGGAGAATTATATCCCCTTGAGGGAAGGAACCATATCTTGGTCAGTTGTGTGCCAGAAGTATCTAGAGTAGACTAGCAGTACCCGGTGGAGAGTAGGTGCCCAATATATGTAACAGAATGAATGAACATACCAAATGCTTGCAATATTATGTTTTGTTCTCAGATATAAAAATTTAATCATACCTTATATTCACCTAGAAGTTGCCCCTTCAAAAAAAGTAAATCCAAGAAAGCTTTCTGTACCCATAAGCACACTTTAAACTCTAGGAAATTAAATGCTTTAACAAGATACCTAAGATGACATAAAAAATTGAGATTGTACGAACAGCTTTTTATCTTCTCTCCGATACACATACCTAGATGTTTATGTTCAAAGTTATGAGTTATTTTCAAACATCTCATTTTGAATTTAATACTTTTGTTTCACCAACCTAAAACCATGTTCCCTCTTAGTAGTTATTTGAAACACCGGCTCAAAGCTTCCTCAATTATTCAATTTAATATTACATTTACAATGTGCTGTTACTATACCATATATACGGTAGATTAAAACCTAATCTATAATAAGTAACTACAATGTTTAAAGGAGAAAAGCACACAGATATCCCATCTTATCCAAAATACATTTTAGCATGGTTAATAAAAGCTGTTCAGTTATTTTTCTTTGGTTCTCAGGATGAGAAAACTCAAGCGGACACTACATAAAAGTGAGAGTCAAAATGGTTTGTGTATTTTGTGGCTTACTCCTGAAGGAGAAATGATCAGGAGGACACAGAGTGGCTTTTATCTCCTGCCTCTCCTGAAGCTCAGCACATCTCCTCACATGTGTGGCTAGGCCTTAGGGGAAGAGAGAAAAGACCAGCTAGGCTGGGTTTGTTTAATATTCCTACTGGAAAGATTGCTTATAAGCATTTCAAGGGGAAAACCAAGTGCAGCCTTTCACAATAGGAATGGATGGTCACTTGGTCATCTGAACCATCACTCCTCTAGCATTTGCTTTTAATTTGGTTTTAAAATTTTTAAGCAGAACCCAATGCGTAATCAAAAGGAAATTCTGTAGGGTGGTACGTATCTACCCTTTAAGAAACAGCAAGCTATCTGTCTCCCAAATAATAAAATGTTAGTCACGTCACCGAATTGGATGTATCAGTACAACTTGTAGTAAGATGATTATAAAATAATGTTTCTTGAACATGAATGTCACATACTATTCTTTAAATAAGAATCCAAAGACTAGACAAATGCAGGGATTAAATCTTCACACTTATTTTTCCGACTTATAGAAAGAGGTTAGAAAATCAGACTTTATCCCCTAGGAACATGTGTTTTATTCAGACACAGTCAGTGTAATGTAAAATAATACTTGGACTGGAAACGCTAATCCTCATTCTCTATTTAAATGCCTGCAATTTAATGTTTGACAAGGAATGGCACAAACCAAATTTTATGACACTCTAAAAGCAGTTCTACATCTTACATGAGGAACCTGCTGTCAAATAAGAACAGTCTGTCATGTCCCATCTAGAACTAGGGTAATTAGCCAACATTAATAAAATACAGCGTTAGTATACACGACTTACATCTGTACTTGTCTTCCAGATGTGCTTTACACAGGGAAATGATGCCAGTTTTAAAAGACAGGACACGGATCCTCCCTGTTCGTCCCCTATTATGAAGAATCAAACCAGAAAACAATTACTGACACTTTCCTAGAGGGTAAACACTTCTACTTAAGCATAAAGCCTTGAAAAGGAAAAATAAAAGAGTAAAGTGGTGTGAACTCTATTGACCGCTGTTTTATTAAGATTGTTTTGAACTTTTCCAAATTCATTATCTCTTTGACTGATGACCTACAATACAATGGAAATTCAACCAACTTGACAACTGAATGTTTACCAAGTTTCAATTCCTAAAAACTCGTATTTGAACTGCAAAAGTTCCACATAAATTAAGAAAAAAAATTCTATTCACCTATGGAAAGCCACCTTGGTTTAAGTTGGTAAGCGGAAGAATTACTACTCTTCACCAATCTACTTTGGTTATTAAAGCAAATTACCCACTTTGGTCATTGAAGCCAAAAAAATTACCGGCAACTAACTGCTCTGCCCTCTTAAATGCTTAGATCTTCATCAGACTGCCCCTTACTGAAAGAAAATTAATCACTTCAGGCCACATAACACATAATATAAAATATAAATGTTTATCTGTATGAGAAAAATATGATACTCTATTAAACAGCATTCAAATACATGATCTAAAAAATAAATTTATAAATAACCTGTTGCTATATCAATGTTTTAATATAGATTGCTTTTATTTCACTTTGCATATAGAAAACTGAAATAAAGCATTCCACCTAACAAATTTATTAATAAGCTAATTTTATCCATGGTGAAAAAAAGGAAAAATAAGAATGAAAAGTTTTCCATTTTGTAGAAAATGTCTTTCAAGACATAGAATCAATGTAAATGCCCATCAATTACAAATTAGATAAAGAAAATATGGTACATATACATCATGGAATACTATGCAGCTATAAAAAAGAATGAGATCATGTCTTTTTAACTGGAGGCTATTATCCTTAGCAAACTAATGCAAAAACAAAAGAGTAAACACTGCATGTTCTCACTTATAAGTGGAAGCTTAATGATGAGAACTCACGAACACAAAGAAGGGAACAACAGACACTGGGGTCTTGAGGGTGGAGGGTGAGAGGAGGGAGAGGAGCAGAAAAGACAACTATTGGATACTGCGGTTAACCCGTTTATGCTGGAGGTTGCAAATTATTTTTTGTGAAAATCAGACCTTGACAATGACCTTGAGCAGTAGGAGATGAATAATTCCCACAAAAGCTTAGTGTTCCAGTAATGGAACACCAGGCATAAATGGGTTAATACCTGAGTGATGAAATAATCTGTACAACAAACCCCCGTGACACGAGTTTACCTATGTAACAGACCTTCACATGTACCCCAAAACCTAAAATTAAAGTTAAAAAATGTTTTTCAATAGTTTTTTGGCTTCTTATTTTATTATAGAAAGCTACTGGCCCTTAGATATCGGTAAAAAGAAAAAGGAGAAAACATTTTCGAATAATTTGCTCATTAGCACTTCAAAATCACAAATGATATTCCCAACTGCAGTTATTTTCGGTGAACAATATGCTCAACTTTCAACTATTAAAATTTATTAAATCCCTCAGTCAAAAAGAAATACTGGGCACTAAGGGACTAACAAAATTCCTATCATTGGAAAATTTTCTTATCTTTTTTCCTCTTAAGAAAAGGTTGTTCAAAATTTAACAAATCCACTTTATACAGCAACTTCAAGGAGTTAAAATTGTCATCAAATAATTTTCAGGCAGGTAGAATGGAGTTATATATTCAGAATGCATTCACATGTCATCTGCAAAGAAAACAGTGCCAAAATATATTTGAGGTGAAACCCGAATACAAACTCTTATCAAAACTAATGTAAATGTAGTTCACAATTGAAATCCGACATGTCCAAGGACTTGGTAGATAACTATGATGAATGTAATAGTCAGGTGGTCCTGAAATTTTAAAAAGCAATACCTTGTCAAAATAAGAAAGAGAAAAAGCTATAAATTTTACTTAAAAAGGTGGTAGAAGTCTACAACAAAGGTAAAAGGCAAAATAGTTGTTATGCAACTCTTTTCAGAAAACCTTCCCAGATTTCCAAATGGGAATATGTTCTTGATTGGTGAAATGAGGTATGTAATAATTTCGAGGTCTAAGAAGAATTTAGGCAACATTAAAACCAATTCCTTCTGCTCCCTTCTTCAATTGTCTTCATTAAGCTCAAGAAAAAAAAAATCAGAACTGGGGATATCTCCCATGTGCAATCCAAAAGAAACAAATAATTGCTCTCTAAAAGAGAGTGATGAATGGAGGCGCCAAACTGAAACTTCATAAAATCTTATTAAAAAAACAAAATAAAACCAAAAATGTTCTCAGTTTGAGGAGCTAAGTTTGCTGTATTAAGGGCTTGTTTTCATTTTGTTTGGCCTACCAATTCGTAATCTTCTGCAAGTCTCCTAAGTATCAGCTAAGACAATTCTGATCTGGAGACAGGTGTGCCAGTATCTCCAGGAGCACAGCCATGGCCGCCAGTGAGAGGGAGACACCCCTGAAGTGCATGGAAGAATTCCAAAATCCATGGGTGAGAAAGGGAAAGAACCAAGGGCTATATGTTGACTTACTCCACTATTTGAAGAATGAGTATCTCAGGGTTTTGTTTGTTTTCTAATCTGAGAGCAATCTACGTTCTGGCTCTTAACTCCTAGTTTATTAAAATATTTTTCAAGTCATAAATGCAAAAATGATTTATCACAGGAACAGCATTAGGTCCACAGCTTCTGAGGCCCTGTTGTAATGCTAATTACACTGTCACCATTCTGTAAGCTAAGCCTCCTTTGACAGAGCCCGGGAAACAAAAACTAGCCATACGTACGTATCATAAACATTCAGCAGCCAGTTCAGACACATATCCACGCAGAGAGGGACGTTGACCAAATTGTTGTGCTCTTGCTCTAGGCGGTCATAAATAGTGGTCAAACAATTAATAATCTGCAGGATATCCATGGGCTGGTCATTTTGCTTGAGGTTGTGCTGGTCCAAGGCATCACATGCAGCTGACAGGCTCAAGAGATCCACTGCAAAAACAAATAAAATCACAAATGATTCAAAGAGTATAACCTTCCTTTCGGTGTCCTTTTTCCTTTGAGAATCCTAGCTAGGACCCTCTCATACCCTTTAATAAACACCAAACTTGAACCACACTCTCTTTGAAAGGTGTTTTATTTTTATCCCTCGACTCTAAGTTGATGAGTTTGATCAGTATTCAGGATCTGAAGTTGTTCTTAAATCTCACTGGCATTGGGTGCAGGTACGGGCAAAGATATAATTCCCATGCTTGGATTACTGGGGAATATCTGAGAGTTCAAGGGGCCTATCCTGTTCTACATAAACGGAGTCAATTTTCACCTGAATAAGAAAAAAAAAAAATGTTTTAGCAGAAATGTTTAAAGAGATCCAATAATACTTTCTTGTATTAGTATTAGAGAAAATCTGTTAGATTAATCTGTATGGCTAAGGTTGTGTAAACTCTATTTCTAGCTATGCATTTATATTCATTAAGTGCTTTTCTCCTTGAAATATCAGTCACCTCAGCATCTCTCTGCTACCCTAATATTAGGTGAAAAAAATACTCTCCACTACAATTGTCTATAGGCAAACTAAAGTAATTGTATAATCTATCCAGTTTTCAGACCTGAGGCTCGCTTATTTCTCCTTTCACCTTCAAATTGTATTTTATAATATGCTTTCCAAGTCCTCTAAGAACTTTATAAGACTGAGGGAGGAAAATTCCCTTGATCTGAGGAGGTATTTAATCTTATGCCAGGGACAAAAATTTAACAAAAGTGAAACTTCAACCTTGTCCAACATCAGCAAATCACAAGCTTTATTCCCAAGTGTCATGAAAAGATTCATTTCTCTAAAGCCAATTTATTAGCCAAACTAGAAACACAACAACATTGCTTTTATACCACCTTATACACCTAAGCTCTGGTTGAAATTCTCAGTCCTTTGAGACTAGGAATCCATGCTAATTAAGTAAATCTCTCATGCATCTAGGGGGAAGGGGCAATTCAATTATAAATGTAGTTCACATAAATACAGGTAAATCCCACTCAGTAAACAGCTTTCCCAGTAATAAAGAAATGCAAACTTAAGGCTTTAGTGTATTTTACAAGTTATTCGTGGCCAGTTCTAATTAAATATTAAGAAAGAAACAAAAATAGTGGTTAATACCTATGTAGGTTTGTGCAAAAATACTTTTGCACCTATATCGCACACATTTTTCTCTTTTAAAAAAGGAAAACAGAAAATCCTGGAGTTTCCCCAGAAGCATGAAGCAGACATGGTGGTGGAAGCAGGAGTCTGCTCTCCTCCCTTGGAAGGGAAGGCCCCTCTGTTTTTGCTCTGAAATACTCTAAAGATCGAGAAATGACCCTTTTCATGGAAGCTGAGACTTTGTTTAAAGTGGGAGGAAGGAAGATAACTTGGGAGACTGACCTGAGGAGTCAAGCAAGAAAAATAATAAAGAATTTTAAAAAGCAATGCAAGGAGGCAGGAGGACAGGAGGACGTGAGGAGGGAATGGCTGAAAGCGGACTGCATGGGAGGCCGGAGAGAGGTTCAGAGACAAAAGACTCAAACTTTTATTCTCTTCTGTGTGCCTGTTTTCCTCAGAGGGCACATACTCAAGTGCACGTAGTAGGAACACTTAGAAACACAGTATACCCGCTCCATTACTGGAAGAGAGGAAAGGATTTCTTCCAAACACCAATATTCCCAACATGTTTCCTTCTATACTGAAGGAAGCTATGGGTGGTTGGAAGTTTTTCGATTATTTTCTTTTTTGTTACTCTGCTTTAGTCATCATTAAGTATTTTGCCTCTGATCCAGGCATTTAAGAAGTAACTAGTGAGAATTTTTAGAATCGCTTTTGTATTAAGAGTCTTATTTATCCATGTGATGGAAACGAACAAAGAGAAAAACTGCATGAATTTCATTTTATTGGGCCTGCTCTTATCTCTGTACAGGTGAATGGGTAACACACAGAACAGCAAATGCTGAGTATAAATAGCTCCAGAGGGGAGCAAAGCAATTGCTCTGAAATTACAGGAGCAGAAGATGACACAGTTAGGAGAGAAATACTATGCAGTGTGCTCTGCTAAAACTGGATGTGGTTAAACACAAGAACAATCCATCATAGAAGACTGAAGAGCACATTTCCCTAAACAAACATGTCAAACAGAATTCAACTTTCATGGAATTATTTTGAAAAGAATTCTATTTAGGTATACACAATCCATGCTATGGACCTGAAAAGGAAGTGAGAATATCAATAGGGACAATTTAATTGCCATGCATATGCTTTTCCAAATGAACAGCTTAGAGAACATACCTAGACTTTTTGATGAAACATTAAATGTAATGATTAGCTGTTTTTAGGACCCTCAATAAGCAACCAGCAGATACAGTTGTGTGAAACCATTTTTTTCCTTAAGCTAGGAATTTCCATTAAATATTATATGTGTGTGTGTGTGTGTGTGTGTGTATTCACTAGTAGATATACCTTCAAAGCTTTATAAAAACCCAAGTATTCTAATACATCCTCACTTTCTAAATTATGTTTACAGTAGAGGATGCTATAGGCTTTGAAGCCATTGAAGAATAGGGACCATGTGGTGGTACCCTACACATGAGGGCTATGGGGGTGAGAGAGGGTGGGGACAGGATAAAAATTGCTGACTCTCCAGGATCCTCTTTGCTGTGCAGAAAAAGCAGACGGTGGTGGTTGGGGGGTGGCGAGCAGGCAGGACTTCAGCACAGGGATCCCACTAATGGTTCCTGAGGCTCTGGTTGTGCCTGATCATCTTCTCAACCTTCTAGCTTCAAAAGCTAATTCTTTTCCTTTCTATGTATGCCACAGTAGCTAACTCTTGCTATTCCTTTCTATGTAAGACAGATTTTTTTTTTTTTTTGTCTTTTACAGAGTGATAGACTCTTAAGAGTCAGAAGGTTGCTTTAAAATCATTTTGCAGTTGAGACAACTGAGACCAGAGATATGGAGACTCGCTCTGGGTGTTATGGCAGGTTATCTAGGTTTTCTGATTTCTCATGGAGGTATATATTGTAAGAGGGAAAAGTGGGTGGCAGAAGATGTCCTTACTGACTTTACAGAAAAGGAAAACCATTCTGCATTCCATGCTAATGACAACAGTAGGATAAAACAGAAGCACCAAAAAGTTGGTTAGTGGAAAAACAAAAAATGTCTCATGGTACCTATATAACCCCCAAGTTCATCCTGTAGGTCAACCTGGATATTCTATGTTGATGTATAAACAATTCTGTGATCTAATTAGCACAGAAACAGAAAGAGGTGAGTAATGGTGGAAGAACTGCTGCATGTTTGCTGATTTTTCTTGCCCAGGCATGCCATTCTACAGGCAACTTGCACTTATGGCTGAAGGACCTCCCAAGCAAATCTTTGCACTTCAAGAAAGTCAATGCACTTTGATGTAGTTGTCTGTGCAGTAAGGGTTAATTCCAGAGAGGCTGGAGTTGGCACGAGAGGCCTTGCTAAAATATCTACACAGTGCAGAGCCCTGGTCAAAGCACTTTCTTTTCAAAATGACTTACTGTGTTGAAGTGTAGCCACGGGTTGCAGGTTATCACCATTGTTTATTGCTAACAATAACACTGACCATTTTCACCTGGGCACAGTGAGACCAATGGAAGCCAGTGAGTTTGAGGCTGGTTACATAGGAACAGTACGCCTAGGTTACTGGCAGGACATAAGAAAGCCTGGCTGAAACTCCAATTTGTGCCCCCTGGTTTCCAAGGTGTTTTGTGTTCACATCAGTAGCTCTTGTTCCAAGAGAGAAAATGCATCTTGGTGTGGCTTTGTAGACAGAGGGCAATTATAGCTTGTACCTGTCCTCTCTGGACCCTATGCTGTGAGGCAGCCTGTGGCTGTGACACTTATTCTGGTTTTAATGTTGTAGGTATATTGCATCCTTTTTCTGCAAAGAACTCTAGATTCATAAGCACTGTCATTTGGGTCCTGTGAGTCCTCTTTAGCAATTGAACCCTGTCTAACTGCCACTGTCAGGGCAGTGAGTGTCAGAAGCAAGATTGTTTAAAACACCTCCAACTCATTCTTAGCTAAAAGTATTACTAAGGCATTATTTAGAAAGAAAAAAAAAGATGATTCTGATAAAAGGGATGAAAAAGAACCTTTGAAGTTGCTCAACAAGCTACCCTTGGTTGGAAGTAACACAGGCTTTGAAATTGGTTACTGATGATATAACTTTCTAGGGGAATCTGGAAGTGAGAGAACTTGAACCTAAGGAGGTAACAAAATGGATTAGGAGGCAATTGCAAACTGATGGCAAGACTGCTAAAAAAAATCCAATTCCTTGGTTGGGTTAGCAAAAGCTAATGTAAGTTCAGAATTTCTTTCCATTGGGCTTCACCCTCTCTGGCCTGCAGGTGGAGTCCCAACCATAAAACCAAAGCAACTATCAGTTTTGATAAATGGGCTACACCTGTGAGGCCAATGACCATTAAAAAGATCATTCAAAGTGGGCACTTACAGGTATTCCCTATGTCACTACAGTTTTCTTTTTTGATGCCAGACCTAGTAGTCCCTGAACTGGGGCTACAATTAAGAGTTTCAAAGACTGGTAATATTCCAAAATAAGATACTATGGCTATTAGTTGGTACTTAAGCACAAGAATTCTGCAAGGATCAACGGAATGGATTGCTCCTTCCCTGTCCCTTGCCTAATTGAAGCTGTCACACAAATGTTTTGTCACCTAGCGGACAGGCTAGCACCATTTCTTTATATGGGGTTATAAACCCCATCATAAGTTGAAAATATCTTAAGTCACAAATGCATTTAATACACCTAACCAACTGAAACTCACGGCTTAGCCTAGCCTACCTTCAATGTGCTCCCAACACTTACATCAGCCTACAGTTGGGCAAAATGATCTAGCAACACAGTACACAGTAAAGTGTCAGTTGTTTAGCCTCATGATCTTGTGGCTGGCTGGGAGCTGAGGTTCGGTGCTGCTGCCCA